ACTGTTCAGGAAGGACAGGGAGGCCAGAAAAGGTGGGGGAGTTGCACTGTATGTAAGGGAGCAGTATGACTGCTCAGAGCTCAAGTATGAAACTGCAGAAAAACCTGAGAGTCTCTGGATTAAGTTTAGAAGCCTGAGCAACAAGGGTGATGTCGTGGTGGGAGTCTGCTATAGACCACCGGACCAGGGGGATGAGGTGGACGAGGCTTTCTTCCAGCAAGTCACAGAAGCTACTAGATCACACACCCTGGTTCTCATGGGCGACTTCAATCATCCTGATATCTGCTGGGAGAGCAATACAGTGGTGCACAGACAATCCAGGAAGTTTTTGGAAAATGTAGGGGACAATTTCCTGGTGCAAGTGCTGGAGGACCCAATGAGGGGCGGAGCTCTTCTTGACCTGCTGCTCACAAACCGGGAAGAATTAGTAGGGGAAGCAAAAGTGGATGGGAACCTGGGAGGCAGTGACCATGAGATGGTTGAGTTCAGGATCCTGACACAAGGAAGAAAGGAAAGCAGCAGAATACGGACCCTGGACTTCAGAAAAGCAGACTTTGACTCCCTCAGGGAACTGATGGGCAGGATCCCCTTGGAGAATAACATGAGGGGGAAAGGAGTCCAGGAGAGCTGGCTGTATTTTAAAGAATCCTTATTGAGGTTACAGGGACAAACCATCCCGATGTGTAGAAAGAATAGTAAATATGGCAGGCGACCAGCTTGGCTTAACAGTGAAATCCTTGCTGATCTTAAACACAAAAAAGAGGCTTACAAGAAGTGGAAGATTGGACAAATGACCAGGGATAAGTATATAAATATTGCTCGGGCATGTAGGAATGGAATCAGGAAGGCTAAATCACACCTGGAGTTGCAGCTAGCGAGGGATGTTAAGAGTAACAAGAAGGGTTTCTTCAGGTATGTTGGCAATAAGAAGAAAGCCAAGGAAAGTGTGGGCCCCTTACTAAATGAGGGAGGCAACCTAGTGACAGAGGATGTGGAAAAAGCTAATGTACTCAATGCTTTTTTTGCCTCTGTCCTCACGAACAAGGTCAGCTCCCAGACTACTGCACTGGGCAGCACAGCATGGGGAGGAGGTGGTCAGCCCTCTGTGAAGAAGAAGTGGTTCGGGACTATTTAGAAAAACTGGACGTACACAAGTCCATGGGGCCGGATGCACTGCATCTGAGAGTGCTAAAGGAATTGGCGGATGTGATTGCAGAGCCATTGGCCATTATCTTTGAAAACTCATGGTGATCGGGGGAAGTCCCAGAAGATTGGAAAAAGGCTAATGTAGTGCCCATCTTTAAAAAAGGGAAGGATGATGATCCTGGGAACTACAGGCCAGTCAGCCTCACCTCAGTCCTCAGAAAAATCATGGAGCATGTCCTCAAGGAATCAATTCTGAAGCACTTAGACGAGAGGAAAGTGATCAGGAACAGTCAGCATGGATTCACCAAGGGAAAGTCATGCCTAACTAATCTAATTGCCTTCTATGATGAGATAACTGGTTCTGTGGATGAAGGGAAAGCAGTGGACGTGTTGTTCCTTGACTTTAGCAAAGCTTTTGACACTGTCTCCCACAGTATTCTTGCCAGCAAGTTAAAGAAGTATGGGCTGGATGGATGCACTACAAGGTGGGTAGAAAGTTGGCTAGATTGTCAGGCTCAACGGGTAGTGATCAATGGCTCCATGTCTAGTTGGCAGCCGGTATCTAGTGGAGTGTCCCAAGGGTCGGTCCTGGGGCCGGTTTTGTTCAATATCTTCATAAATGATCTGGAGGATGGTGTGGATTGCACCACCTTTGCGGATGACAGTAAACTGGGAGGAGTGATAGATACGCTGGAGGGTAGGGATAGGATACAGAGGGACCTAGACAAATTGGAGGATTGGGCCAAAAGAAATCTGATGAGGTTCAACAAGGACAAGTGCAGAGTCCTGCACTTAGGACGGAAGAATCCAATGCACCGCTACAGACTAGGGACCGAATGGCTAGGCAGCAGTTCTGCAGAGAAGGACCTAGGGGTGACAGTGGACGAGAAGCTGAATATGAGTCGACAGTGTGCCCTTGTTGCCAAGAAGGCCAATGGCATTTTGGGGTGTATAAGTAGGGGCATTGCTAGCAGATCAAGGGATGTGATCGTTCCCCTCTATTCGACATTGGTGAGGCCTCATCTGGAGTACTGTGTCCAGTTTTGGGCCCCACACTACAAGAAGGATGAGGAAAAATTGGAGAGAGCCCAGCGAAGGGCAACAAAAATGACTAGGGGACTGGAACACATGAGTTATGAGGAGAGGCTGAGGGAACTGGGATTGTTTAGTCTACGGAAGAGAAGAATGAGGGGGGATTTGATAGCTGCTTTTAACTACCTGAAAGGTGGATCCAAAGAGGATGGATCTAGACTATTCTCAGTGATAGCAGATGACAGGACAAGGAGTAATGGTCTCAAGTTGCAGTGGGGGAGGTTTAGGTTGGATATTAGGAAAAACTTTTTCACTAGGAGGGTGGTGAAACACTGGAATGCGTTACCTAGGGAGGTGGTGGAATCCCCTTCCTCAGAAGTTTTTAAGGTCAGGCTTGACAAAGCCCTGGCTGGGATGATTTAGTTGGGATTGGTCCTGCCCTGGGCAGGGGTTGGACTAGATGGCCTCCAGAGGTCCCTTCCAACTCTGTTATTCTATGATTCTATGACAAAGACCATGTTTTTTCTGGGGAAGCCTTGAAATGAATCAAAACAAACCGGTCCAGGAAACCTGTGAGTAAGACTACGCTCCACACCGTACTCCTTCCTCAGGGTCCCCAGGGCCTCCCCTAGCCCATGAGCTTTGCTCTCGTGGTTACGACGACGCAGTTGGACACTCCAGGGTGGCGTGGGTACATACTGTAGTTCTACAGCTGAACTCCTTCCACCATCTCTTCTGTGACAAACATACAGCCAGCCATCTATTTCTTTCAATTCCAGTCTACAAGACACTCCCCTCCTCCCCGAAAGCAGGCCACTTCCAAAACTCCGGGCACCCCAATATACAGTTGAAAACACAGTAACATGAGGGTTACAAAGCATAAAGCTGCCTGGGACACCTCCCACCTAGCACACTCATTCCAACATTAGCCAGGTGACTACAACTCTTCCTGTGCCTTCCCACCAGCCAGAAACCCCTCTTGCAGCTGCCTTGGGCCTCTGCCAAATGCTGCTCAGAGAGAGGCCTGGCTGTCTGCTGGGATGGGCAACAAATTTGGGCATTTCAGATGCTGGGTCGGGGGGAAGAATGTTCTGGGGGGAAGCAAACCTTACAGGGAACTTTCTGCCAGCAGCCCCCTCCCCTTTATAACAGGGCAGGGCTCCAGCTCCTTCGTTGGTGGCTAACATGGTTTTAGGGCAGCTTTGTGCTGAGAATCCATACTCATAAGGGCCTACCTAGACTGTAAACTCAACTAAAGTGGGGGAATGAGTTATAATCCAGCCACACCTTTGCTTTTTTTTTTTTTTTATAAACATAGAAATTGCCAGAGTGGATCAGCACCATGGTCAGTCTGGTCTAGAATCCTGTCTCTGTGGCCAGCGACAGTGGCCAGCATTGGGTGCTTCAGAGGAAAGTGCAAGAAATGACCTGACCTCTAGTAGATAGAGACTAGCTAAAACCCTGATGCATGAGGGTTAATGTCTCTTCTAAAATGCTTGCTTGCATTAAGTATTGTCACACTGGATAGTCTTTGTTCTCATAACTGTATCCAATCCCTGCTGAAATCCCGCAAAGTTTTTGCCTTCCACTGCATCATGTGGCAGTGAGTTCCACAGTCTAATTACACCAAAAAAAAACCATTTCCTTTTGTCACCTTTGGGTTTACCACCTTCTCATTTCCACAGAGCGTCCCCTTGCTGTTGCCAGCATCCTGCCCTCACATGTGCAGGCTTGTGCTGCCAGCAGGCTAAGCATGCAGAGATGCACCATACGCTGTAAGCCAACTGAACAAACATGCAATCACCTCCCAGTAGCCCACAAGCTTGCTGCTGACTGCCCAACCTGGGAAATGACGCAGTTGTGGTTTATTTCTAGGATCCACCAATCCATTCCAGGAAATTCCAGTGATATACACAAGGAAAAAAATAGCCTGATTCCCAGAGGTCCTTGGGCTCTCCGCATGAGTAGGGAGGTGAAGCAAGGGCCTCTGAGCCCTTAATGTGTCAAGGCAACTCAACTCTTTGGCTGTGAGCCAGGAATTTTTCTTGTGGATTTCCAGCCACAGCCAGGAGATTCTCGGGTGCTAGAAGAGCTTTTAATTTAAACCAGGTGCCTGTGAAAGGCAAACACTCATGAAAGGCAAAACTTGGTCGCTTTCCCTCAACAACAACAACAACGGGCAATCACGCACACTTCACTGAAATATTTCACTTGGAACCAGCTCCTCGCTTGAAACGAGCTGCTGAAACCTCATCCATTTGGGCAATCTGCATGACACAAACTACCAATATTTCTGGAGCCAGAAAAATAGTTCAGACGAGTGCCAGCTGAGACTGCCTGGAGCTGCTGAGCGAGAGATCTTACAGTATGGAAAGCACACGGGCTGGCGGAGAACAAAGGAAAACCGTTTTTGTAACATTCCCCCCACTCACTCTTTTTGTTGCTGTTGTCTGTAAACTCAGTGCTGCCAGGGAAGGCTGCTATCCTTCCCGAGCAGGCGGATGCAGCATAGGGGGATAGCAGGCACTTGGAAATACAGGCAGAAAATGTAGCATCTTGTACGATCCACTGCAGAAAATAAATTTCCCAGCAGTCTCCTCTTCTACCGCCAGGCTAGGGTGCTTGCCCCGCTGGGAAGAGAAGTTGATAACTACAGTCATGCGGGAACATGGTTAGAGTTAGCAGGGTCCTCTCGCTATCCAGTGGGGACCAGCACTTTCCTTTTCCTCAGAGCTATGCTAATAAAACAGTGCTGCCAACCACCACCGAGGGCTACACCTAGAACCACAAACCTCCCACGCCCTGGCGTTCTCCTGACTTACCCAGCTATGACAATGAAAAAATCCAGGCGATTCCAAGTATCTCCCAGGTAGCACTTCTTCCCGAAAATCCCTAGTGCAATCATCTTGACTATCATCTCCACAGCAAAGAAGGCAAAGATGAAGTCATCAAAGCTCTAGAAAACAAAGCAACAGCAGGAGGTCAGAAGAAAAACACTTGCCCCCCGCAGAGTGGCAAGTGAAGGGAGTGTAACCGATGGTGAGAGAACACAGCACACGATTACATTGTTATGTCAGAGGTCAATCCCCTGACCGGTGACGGAAGAACCAGTGCACTGTAGACCCAGGGAGGGATGCTATTTTAGCTGTAGAGGACGATAACCCAGACATAGTTCAATACATTTTCTCCAGCAACTTCCCGCAATTGGTACTTTAAAAATCATGCTAATGTTAGTGCTGGTGAAAGATATAAAAGGCCTGATCCAGAGGCCATTGGAGTCAATGAGCCTCTTCACTGATCTGAATGGGGTTGGATCAGGCCCTGATTAACAGCACTGAGAATTCATATCACCAAGCAGACACAGATCACAGAGCAGCAGTGCGTTTTCCCCTGCAACGTGCCTCCACCCTACTCGACTAGGAAGGAACCAACTTTTGTGGGAGAGGATCAGAGAGATTTAAGACTCTGTCTGCACGGCAAACCTGACTGTTCAAAAACAAAACCCAACTAGTTTCAAGCTGGGCTACATTGCGCTGGCTTATAGGGGCTCTGCCTGTCACCACTGAGTGTGTCTTGGTGCAGTTAAATCAATGGCTGGGCCCTGGTGGCTGAAAACCCCAGTGAAGGGAAGAACTCAACCTCCCCAAGGCATGCAGGTGGGAGCAAATACTGACGTAGTTGTGATCATGCTAGTTTTCTCTGTGTCTGGTTTTGGAGGCGAAAACAGGGAGTCACCTTTTGGAGTCCCGTGGATACTTCTGAGAGCTAACAATCAGGGGGGCTTTGTGAGCCACCTGCTGCACCCCTCCAGTGGGGTAAGATCAGTAAGGTGAATATATGCCCATACCTGGAGAATCCTGCAGCGTGGAGAATCACAGGCCATGTCTTCACAGGGGTGGAACATGCCCAGTGTCACACAGTTGAGGAGAATCACCAGCATGCTGAGCCTTTCGAACCAGGTGCACGGGAGGTCCGTTAAGGAAATCAACAGCCCTTTTAAGACACAAGCTGGGAAGGTTCCACTAGAACTAGACACATGATGTTTGCTCATGGATAGAAGGAAGGCAGAGCACCAAGGTAATGAGGAAGGAAGGAATAGCAGATTGACCAGACTTATTACAAGCAGGCCTTTTTTTGTCAGACTCCCCAAGCCTGGTCCCCTTAAAGATGGCCATTCCCTTCCTGACTGCAATCTCCACTAGAACTGACCAGCTGGTACAATTACTTCTGCATGACACAAACTTCTGGCTGGGGAGAGACTATTCAAATTAGACTAAGGACTTCTCATGAGAGCATCGCCATCAAGGAAAAACCTCTCAGTGCTACTGAACACATCAGCACTGGCTGGGAGTCCCTGCAGAACTCCCCAAAATTCCTCAAGGTTCTGTTCTAACAGGCATTGGGTCTCATGTGAAACCTGGCATAGATTCTATGGAGGGTGAGTTCTTCAGTTATTTTGCAGTCACAGTTGGCAACGTGGGTTTTTCCTTGGACATTAGAGCTCTGAAAAATCTTTTTTTAAATATGCCTTCTTTCAACCTTCTTCCCCAGGGCCCTGAGCCAGCACGGTACATAAGCAAGTGCCAAATTTAAAGCATCTGAATAGTCCCCACTGAAGTCAATGGGATTATTACCACATGTAAGGTAAGGCACATATTTGAGCACTTGCTGAATTGTAGCCTAGATTCCTACCTAGCTTTTTACAGGAATCCTATACTTCATGTTTTTATAAAAGTTTAGGTAATTTGCCTTTAATTTTGTAGTCCGTCATATCGACACACAATCTAATACCATGCAACTTTATTTTGTATAGCGTCTTCCATGCTAGCCATATCCCACCAAAGCTACCATGGGAAAATTTGCCATCATTTTGTTATGCAAGTACCAAAATGGTATCTGGGCACAATCAGTTTCCATTCCTAGCATTTTATAGAGAGACACTGGAGTAAGTAAGGGATTGCACTTTCCATTCCTAGTCCAAATCAGCACTGGCTGGAACATAAACCAACTGCCTAGAAGGAGAGTGGGAGTCAACCAAGTCCACCCCCCAGATGGCCACATTTTAGAAGAGTTTTAAATATCTGAGCTGCATTGGGAGAGATTTTGAAAGCTGTTACTTTCTAGGACAGGCCAACTGGAGCAGCAACAAAGCCACATAAGGAAGTTTCAAACCTGGTATTGAGCAAAAGGAATTTCTCTGTGTCCCTCTAGTGGACATTTCCAGTGATTTCAAGGCTACTGTGGACATAAAGATGTTAAAGAAAGGGACCAATTCAATGCACTTTAGCTTTACCACTCAACCGAGCACCAGGCTCACCTGCCTCAACCTTGTGTTTGGCTTCAGCTTCATTTGAAGGACATTTTTAAAGCCTCGATCTCCAGCCACAAGAGAAAGAGGGACGTGTCTGATCGAGACACTTAACCTTGCATCCAGAACGTTTCGAGATCTCACTTGCATCCCTTGTCACAGCTTGGCAGCTGTGTGGCCTTTTGTTTGGCTCTGGCACATTCTTGAGGTGTCTGACCGTAACCGTTCCTTAGTATGGCACTAAATAACAAATCTCTCTCTGGTGGGGCTTATCATATAGCTGCACTGCAGGATCTTTGCAGTGTTTACCACTGGGGTCCCAGAATGGCTCTGAAGTGACTAAACAGCTTCGGCGCAGGCTGAGCGGACAGCAGAGCTATAGAACACAGGCTTGGCCACAGAGAGCTTTTCCATGGGCAGTAAAAACTCTGTAAGCCAAACCCCAGTTAAGTGAAACAGTGGAGCAGCAGTGGGACATGTGCCCCAAAGGCTGCTGGGCAGTCAGCTGAAGAGGAAGACAGACAGAGAAGATGCCCAAAAGGCCAGCCAAAGAGAGGGGGAGAGAAGCTAGGGGAAGAAAAACTAACGAAGCACAGATTTCTGTGCAGAAGCCCTTGCATGTAATACCCAGGCTGAGCCCATTCAATCCTGTCTCCCTCTAGTGGCTGGCTCCAACAAGAATAAAGCCTGCTACCCACAGACAGCTGAAGGAGATGCTCCTTTAGCTGAAGGAGTAAGAGGTCAGACTTTTTGGTGCTGAAGGTCCCAGGGATGACTGTGATAGGCTTTGTTGCTTATGCCTAAAGTAGCTCTTCTGTTGTGGTCAGGCAGCTTGACTTGGGAGACACCATCTGGTTAGACCGCTCCTCTCCTCAGCTACATCTGGGTTTCCCCTGATTATCTGACATTAGAATAATCAGGATGCTACTGTACAATGATGTAGCTTTCTACAGGTCCTACCTATGGAGCAGCAGAGGAAAAAGCTCATCAATGCAACCAGGGGCCGCCCTCATTTCAGACCCAGAGACATAATCCATGGAGACGACAGATCCCAGCACGCACTCTGCTACTTGATCCACTCAATCAGATCAAGATGATACATTGCAGTAGTCTCAAAGACGACAGCGGCTTCCATCCACTCCGATTTATACAATGGAAGCCTGGCCTTTGGGAACTCAAAACACTTCCAACGCAGCCCGAACTGGACGAAGTTTGGGAGCCCATACTATATTGTTATTCACCTTAAAAGGTTAGAGATGAAGCCGACCTGACAGGTGTCTCAGTAAGTGCTGGGCCAGGGACCTTGGGGCATTCCTCTCTTGTGGACTTTCCTACATAGATTCCTGTTTAATCACATGCAGAGGAGTCAGGATTTGTTTAGCTGGATCTTTTATTCTGAAAAAGTGTTTACATGGTATTGAAACAGAAATTCCAACTGTCAGGTTGCAGTTACAGCCTGGAATATTTATCCCAAATATAGTCCGATGGGGGCACGCATACACGGCCTAGCAAAGGAGAGGCAGAACTCTGAGAGATGGCAGAGGATGTTCCCTGTATTTGATTGGGTTGGCCAGCATCCATCTGTGGAGCCAGTGACTTCCACAACTCTGCCAGTGATGAACTGCAAAGCCTTAAAGAAAATAAAGAATAAAAAAAAGACTGTTTAAGATCCCAGATCAGCAACAGAATGCGTGTGTCAGACAAGAGCTGTGCAAAATATTCAGCGCCGAACCAAGAGCACTTAGAATTAACCTTCTTAGTGATATAAGAGCAGACAGACGAAAGCTTCCATGAGCAGGCCCTGTGTCTTGTAAATTCTTCCGGGACCATGGAAAATGCCAAAGGCAGGTGTAATTCTCCTCGCGCTGTCTATTGTCAGTGGAAATTGGGAGGTAGAAGGTGGTGCTGCTTTTGCTAGAAGTTCCTTGGCGCATGTACATGGTTCCCCGGCTGGCAGAGCACAAAGGCTCCTTTCATGCAGAGAGGTGATTGCTGCAGCATGTGCCCTCTCCTGCTTTGTGCCATTTCCAGGTTGTTTCTTCCGCAGAGGTTGGAGCCCCAGGGTTCCCTAATGCCCACTTGCCAGGGCCAGTGGGGTGTGTGTCTATTGTAGATGCCTGGCAGCAGCAGCGAGTGTGGCTCCTTGCTGCAGTGTGAAGGAGGAAGGGCACTCACTATCCCCACAATACCATTGTGGGTGGGGTAGGAGGGAAAACAATGGCCTTGTCACATGACCTCCCCTAAAGATACCAGAGGATGGACAGCTGGGTAGTTAAGGCACTGGACAGGGGACTCAGGAGATCTGGCTTCAATTCCTGGCTCTGCCACAGACTTCCTGTCTGACCTTGGGAACATTATTTAATCTCTGTGCCTCGGCTCCCCCATCTGCAAAATGGGACATTACTACTTTGTGTATTTACATTGTAAGCACTTTGGGACAGGGACTGTCTCTTATTAGGTCTATGGGCAGCACCTTGCACAACAGCGCCCCGAGTTCAGTGGACACTGCTGCAATACAAATACCAATGAGTTACCAAGAATATTTCCCCTTTTCTCTGTCCAGCCTGAATTTGCCAGCCGCTTCCTACACCCTGCAGATTTCCTCTTCCTCAGCTGATAAACAACAACAGAGTGTGGAAAATTGTGATGGCTTCAAAATGGACAGAGAGGGGGAAGCCTCAGGGCAGAATAGCAGCAGACACCACAGACCAAGCAGTATTAAAAAAGCTTGTCGGTGCTGCAACACAGATGGAACTTGGCCTGGCCAGTATGGGAACTGTGCACCTCCAGAGAGATATCATGGGAGTAATGCAGTACAGGTAACTACAGCTGGAAGCTGCCTGCACTGCTTACAGTCCCCCCCAAAGCGTGGAGAGGTATCTAGTGTTATTAGGTCTCATACTTAATGTAAGCCTTGCGCAACTTATCACACCATAAGCAAAGTATTTGGGACCAGATTCCAATCCCCTTACTCTCCCTGAGTAGCACTTTTCTCCATGAGAAATCCCAGTAAGTCAGTGGAGCTACTCATGGAATAAGAAGTTATTCAATGTGACTAAGGAAACCAGAATCTAGCCTTCATTTAATCCCTTATATTACAATGGAGGGACTGGGCATGGGCTCAGCAACTGGACCTCACTGCCTGGAATTCCCCTTCCAGTAGGAAGGTAGACAACACAGCGACATTGACTAATGCAGGCAATTCTTCAAGGAATGATATTTGTGTATACTAACTGTACACTCCCTGGAAAACTATTTGGATCCTCTCTCACATCACAGGGGTAATGAACAGTGACTACAGGACTGTAGCTTTAGCCAACATGTTGGTTACAGTTATGGCTTGCTACATAGTCCCAGTCAGTCTATGGCGGTGGGGTCTAAATCAGTGTGTTACTTTTTAGTACCACCCCAAGGGGGCTGCTTAAAGCTATAGGTTCTGCAAGGAAGCCTGCTACGTAGGTTAAACTAAGAGCTGAAACCTCTCTCTGATGACCAAGCCATATAGAGCTGGGCCCCTCCTGCCTGCATAACAGCCGGCTGGGTCCTCCTATTAAGACCATGGCAAGGTCACAAGCAGAGCTACCAAATTTTCACCATACACAACTACTCCCCTTGCTGTGTCATGTCAAAGCACTTTACCCAAGCTGCCTTCCCATCGTGAGTGTCACGCACAGGGACGGATTCCTGAGTGGGGAACATGTGGGGATTTGACATGTAAATCTGATTAAAACGTAAAATCTGTT